ACTTGACTAACTTTAGGCAAATTACTTAATTTCTCTATGCCTCAGCTTTCCCATCTGTGAAATAGGAATAATGATAGTATCTACCTCACGATTGTTATTAGTATCAATTTTGCTTAAGCAGATATTTTGATAGACCAATGGGAATTCATGGTTATTATAAGAATGTGGGGGTTTCTGTAAGCAACCTTGGGTTAGTCTAGTTATTGCATCTTTTTTTTTTTAAAGTAGTAGAGTTACATTTTGCAAAATTTAAAAGTCTGCTTAAATTTTCCTCCCCTCAGCTAATTTGGTTCAAGTTACTGAGACTATTAAACATCTGACATTTGTTTGTTGTGTTTTTTATAGCTAAACAAGCCATATTTTTTTCACAGAGTTAATCTTTCAGGACATACCTAATATATTTATTTCTACTCATCTTATATCCTAAGTGAATTTAATATGAGATTTACTTTCTTTTAAAGTCATTTGTAAATAACAAAACATCTCTGCAGCCCTTCCATTTGACATTCATTTTTACGTTCTTTGCAGTACTTACTCATACACTATATGTTTTGAATATTTTTGTACATACTTATCAGGCAATAACAGCTGTTTTATTCTGGGATTTGATGTTATAGGATGTTATTTATTTGCGATATGATTATATATTTGTGAATATATAATGTGAAGTATATATGTAATAATAATCCAGAATTTCATGTAGGTACTGGTTTATATACTTTTTTTCTGCTTTTGTGAATCTATTTTAAAATGCTATATTCCTTTTATAAAAATGAGTTAGATAATGATTCAAAACAGTTATCAGTGCCTTTTTAATTTGCTTTTGAAAATGTGGCATTTTAAATTATAGAGCTTGTATAGAGTGAGTGACTGCTGTACGTGGTAAATTCAGAAGCTTGAGGAATACATTTCCCGTCTTTTGCAGCAAGCATTTACTTAGGTTTTACATTCACATGTGTAATGCCATCTGTTTTTGTTTTAAAATGTGTCATCATTGAAAGAATCGTAGCTGGCGAGTGAGAAACTACCTTCATAAACTTGAGACTAGAAGAGGAGTATAGATGGACTAATTGTACCCCTTCATTTTAATTATGAGGACACTGAAGCCAGACAGAAAAACTGACTTTACCAAGTAGATGTAAAGAGCAGCAGTAATACCAGACCCACGTAATTATCCTCTACTATGTCACTCTGTTACTGTACGTTGGACTTGTTACTTTTAAATGTGCTCATTATTGCAGTTGTGCACATTCTGAGTAGAAATCCTACTTCTCATCTGTTTAAAAACAACTTGTAAGAGAGATCAGTATTCCAAAGGCAGTTTTGGAGAACTAAAAGTATGGTTATTTCTAATTTTGTGTTGAGTTATTTCTCACTTCTGAATTAAAACTCATTTTGCACTAAGATTTATTTAATGCCAATAGAAATCTAAGTATATTGCCAAAAGAGGAATTGTAATAGAAAATATATTTTTTTATTAAACCTTTGGCCATTTTTGGCCCATTAAGCCTTTAAGTAGTTGCTAAATGAAGTAAAAGGAGCATGGTTTATAAAAAGAGTTAGGATTTAAATTTTTTTCATTCAGATATGATCTCACATGGTACCTTTGGGAAATATATCCACTTGTATTGCATCTTCCACAATTTTACTAATTGGTACTAATGAAATGTAATACTTTTAGGAAAGCATTTGCCCTGTGTGATCTAAGTTTTGGTCGTTGTTGGTGTTTATGGAGCAAGTTAATTATTTGGAGAAGAATTAAAGTCACAGATGCAAAAAGTATTTTACATAATTGAATTTTAGTAGAAATGTGTTAACATGTTCTACATGTTCAGTTTTGAGTTTACCTTATACACTTAAGGTCTTCAGACTTTTTGCTCATTTACCCCTTGAACGCTTTCAAGTTGACATACACAGTTTTTCATCAAAAGAGTCAAATAATTGCAAAGAATATAATTTCTAACATCATAAATATTGACTTATAGTAAAACTGTAATATTTAAATGTATTCAGTGGAATCTTAAGTACAAGGGATGTTTGATACCCATCACCCATTTAATAAAATAAATGGAAATAGAATATTTTTAAAATCTTCTAGGGCAATAAGCTTCTAATTATCTAAAAATTGCTTCTGGATTGAGTAGTTAATGCAAGTATTATTTGTACAGAATTAATCCACCTGTCATAAATATATTACAGTTTTGGTAAATGTTAAACAGAAAAAGTACAATTTGTGAAATGTGTCACTGAATGAAGTGGGAGAGATGGGGCTGAGCATCTGGATGAGAACCCACTTGGAGGTGATATAGCTTGTGAAAAGTCCTCTTGTATGCTCGCACACATCCCAGTTTGAATGCTGCTGACTTAAGTGACTGACTGTGCCTTCTGCAGGAGATTATTACAATTACATAATATAATTTAGTGACTAAGGGCAGACACTCTGCAGGCAGACCACAAGGGCTTCAATTCCAGCTCTGAGTCCCAGCTCTTCCTTTTATTAATTGCATGACTTTAGGAAATCTGCGTAACCACCTCCCTCATCCCTCTGTTTTCTCATCTGTAAAATAAGAATAACAGTTTGCTGTTGCACAGGTGAAATGAAATAATACTTGTAACATGATTGAAATAGTGTCTAACACAGGCACGTTAATTGTACAGTCAACTCTAGATATTCTTTTAAATGTATTTTGAGAATTTTATAGATATATCTTAATGTGTTTATATGCATTCCTCAGACAGATTTAAATAATTTGAGATTATCAATTGGTACTTCCCTTTCCTCTTGCCTGGTAAATCAGATAATTTCCTACATTTTATACAAGAAACGAATCAGGTTTTCCCCATGAATATGTACACATAAATCTATTGGTATGAGAATGCCTATCTGTTTAAGCACAGGAATACTTAATGTTTGTCTGTGACAAGGAAACAAATTATAACCAACAGCAAACATTTATTGAATATTCACTCTAAGTAAAAGCTGTATTTAACAAAAAGGAGAAAAATAGACTCTAAAGCTTTCCCCTGCCAAGGAATTACAAGAGATAGTAAAATTAATAAACAAATTTTGAGAATCATTAAATTTTTAAAATAGCACCATCAGCAATTTCTGATTTGAAGAGAACCAAAATGAATTTAGAATAATTTGTACTAGGAAGTGACCTAGGTAACAGAAAAAGCAGGAAGAGTAAGGGGAATAAATAGTTATTCATACCTTAAATTTGTATTAAAAGATCAATTAATGATGTAGCCTCTAAGCAAAGTCATGGTATGGGGATTAGAATTCAGCTTATGAATGTCCTTGTAAGAATTGTTATAAAACTCATTAATCATATGATGATAATCACTACTAGATATTTTTTTCCTAGCATAACCTGAACTCTGTTATGTTAAGAAATATAATGATATACTAACTTAAGTGTATTTCTTTAAAATATATGTCCTATTTAACAGAAACAATAGTTCAGCCATTAAGATATTTTTTATTTTTCAAAATATTTATATCCAGGTTCACCTGCTTTTTCCTTAATAAACATTAATAAAAAAGAACTGGAAAATTGAGAACTTTGGCATAAGCGTTGGTATTTCACAAGATTTTGAAATAAGAGACAGGACAGTTTCTCTCCTGTGGATTGCTGACCTTTGTAATTGCATACCCTGCTTAATTCATAATTTTCTAGAAGGATTAAGTCCATCCCCACTAATGCTGTACAGCGTTTGAAGAAAAGTTAACCAAAATAATTTTTGTTTTGAAATTCATCATATCTTTGGAAATAATTAGTACAATACATCCTACAGTATCCCGGAACCAATGAGAATCATTGTTAAGTTCAGGTGAAAACAATGCTTAAATAAGGTAGACCTATTATTGGGCCATAAATAATTCAGGAACCATCCTAGAACATCACTTCCTTTGGTGGACCTAGGAGGGGAAAAAGCTACAAAATTTGATTTTAGCTCTATCATTATTAGAGTCCCTCAATTTATGCTAAGATATAGTTTAGAGTAGTTGAATATGGAAGGAATTTTGATAATGAGAATCTTATTCTGATGTTGGCTTCCATGATAAAATTGGAACTGTCTTCCTGGACAGTTCAAAAAATTCTAGTAGTCTGAAATAAACTCTTGGAAAGGAAGTGAGTGTATTCTTTCTGCCATTACTGTATCTCATCCCAAATAACAGGACAATAAGAACTTCTTTCATTTGGAGATCCCCTTACTTCTTTATTGCAATACACAGACCTTTTTATTCTTTCGTCACCTTTGTGCATAGGCCTTTAGGAGTTCTAACAGAGTTAGGCTACAATATTTTACTTCCATGAAGAGCCTTTTTGGTGCATGATGTTCTCTAAGATAACCATTCTCCAAGGTTCAGGCCCCATAACTCTGTAAATGCTAAAGGAAAGTAATTTGAAATTCCTGAAAATATTATAGACTGTTTTAACCTAATCTGTTTTATGGGCTTTCAAGTATATGTGTGATTGTAACTAAGTCAGCAGTGTTCTCCCAAAAGGTTTTTAGAGAACCCTGTAATTAGTAGATGATTTGTTGTTAACTTATTAGCAAAACATGTATACATGGATTTTTCTGTCTGCAGTATATTAAGTGTGTTCTCTTAGGTAAATACATACCTCACTTTCAGCCTTTTTTTTAACCCAGATATTCTTTACAAAAATATAACAAGCTCTTTACTGTGAATAAATGGTTTTCTAAGATTTTGTACTCTGTTTTATCAAATTAACATGAACCAGCACTTCTTGGGTACTTGTTGGGTACTTATGTAGCTGTTAGTTAACATATATTGTAGCTGTTTAATTAACATATGTAATATAATGTTAGAGTTTTTACATAATCCCCATATCACTAGATTATAAACTCCTTGAAGGCAGGAGCCATGACTTGCTCAGCTCTCTGTTATCCATAGTACCAGCTTAATGCCTTAAGTTTGAGTAAAATAGATTTATGATGAGAAGGAACTCAAACATTTTTTTTTTTAACAGATTTAGTTCATTTGACTTGTACGTCTTCTAAAACAGCAAGAGAAGATTTAGAACCAGTTGTGCAGAAATTGTTTATTCCATATACTGAAGTGGAGATAGGTAAGAAAAATAATTGATGACTCATGATGGAAAGGGAATGTAACCATCATAATCTTCTTAGACATATATGAAAGTTTCTGCAACCTGAACTGAAATATGATGTATTCAACAACAATTCACATGTTTTAGTAAGATGGTTGAGCACAGTGTCTGCCTAAATATGTGGGAAAATGTTCACTCTACCATGTTAAAGGAAATATATACATCATACACACAAAAAACATATAATTAAGCACAGAAAATATTCATTTACATGCATAATTACACAGAAAAAAGATTGTTAGAAAATCAATTTTGGTGGAATTATGGGTAATTTTTCTTATAATTTTCTTTATTTTACAAGTGTTGTACAAAAAGCATATATTCCTTTATCAGAAAAATGTGTCTTCCTTTCAGGAAAAAAGATTCAACTAACAGATTAAAATATTAATTGGCAAATGTTGAAATCCTTTCTCATCTAATAGTCTTTGTGGCTTTTTTTGAGACAAAGTCTCACTCTGTTGCCCTGGTTGGAGTGCAATGGTGCGATCTTAGCTCACTGTAGCCTCCACTTCCCAGGTTCAAGTGATTCTCCTGCCTCAGCCTCCAAGTAGCTGGGACTACAGGTGCGCACCACCACACCTGGCTGATTTTTGTATTTGTAGTAGAGACAGCATTTCACCGTGTTGGCCAGGGTGGTCTGGAACTGCTGACCTCAGGTGATCCATCTGACTCAGCCTCCCAAATTGCTAGAATTACAGGCACAGTGAACCACCACACTTGTCCTCTGATAGCCTTTTAATACACAATGTGCTAGTGATTTAATAAATATTTAGCTCCCAAAAGTATATGTGCTACTTATTCATGGGGGAAACACATTTTAAAACTTTTCCCCCTACATAATAAGGTAGTACTTGTAGCTGTGAATGGAGAAAATAGGACATATTTTCTGTGTAAATGATAAAAGAAGCCTGTTGGATCTTCATTTATATGAAGTGAAGGTGATTTTTATTATAGGATTTACATGTGCACTTGAATCTTGGTCACTTTCTTCCATTGATTTGTGTCTTTATTTTCTTTGCATGTCACTTTGTTCATGCAACCATTTATTTACTCATACTTACTCTGTTTCCTTTTAGCTCATTCTCTATGAGTGTTGTTTATTTTCTAATGCACAGGTAGTACGTAGAGGGGTGCTTATTTACATATGAAGACAAACTGTTCTTTAATTTTTAAAAAAATTTTATGGGTACATAATAGGTGTATATATTTATTGGGTACATGACATGTATTGATACAAGCATGCATCGTATAGTAATCACATCATGGTAAATGGGATACCCATCACTTCAAGCATTTATCATTTCTCAGTGTTAGAGACATTCCAGTTACACTCTTTTCGTTATTTTAAAGCTCACTGTAAATTATTGCCGGCTGACTGTACTTACCCTGTTGTGCTATCAAATGCTAGATCTTATTCATTCTATTTATGTTTTGCACCCTTTTACCATCCCGACTTTTCCCTCTTCCTTCCCCATTACCCATCCCAGCCTCTGACAACCATCATTGTACACTCTATCTCTATGAATTAAATTGTTTTAATTTTAGCTCCCACAAACAAGTGAGAAAATATTAAGTTTGTCTTTCTGTGCCTGGCTTATTTCACCTAACATAATGAACCTGTTCTGTTCTCAGGAGCTAATATCAATTATTATTTTTTCTGTCATCTACCCAAAGAAAGTCTTTGAATCTGGAAACTTCACTTTAGTTTGGTAGTTAATTTTTAAATTAAATTATTTTAGTCATAATTTATTAATTTATAAATTGCTTATATGTATTTTCTTTATTGAAAGTATCATGTAAATGTCTGGATTATTAAATATTTGATTGCCAAGGTAAAATACACAGTAATCTTTCTAAATCTAATATGGAGTCATAGTTTTTTCTTTGGCGTTAATTGCAGCTATACTTTGTGTAGAAAACCTGAATTTCTTAATTATTTCTGAAATTTTAAATCTTATGTTGTAATTTCATTGTGTAGCAGTCTCAAATAATGCACTAAATATGAATCATATCATTACTCTTCACTTTTTAAATCCATTTAATTTTCTTTTTAAAAAAAAGTCATGCTGGGAGAAATTACATGTTCATTACTTAGCATCTTCTAGCCATTTAGATTTTTAAACATTAATCTTAATAGTTAAAGTGATTCCATTTTGAAATGATGTATTGCTTAGAGTCTGAGAGGAATTCTTTGGTAAGAACTATGTGCTCAAAGGGGTCCTCAGGTGCACTGAGGCACTGAAAAGCTAGTTTTCACTGACACATAGGCCTTTTTATCATCAGGATGAGGTAGTGGTCATATTTTAATTAAAATGTCAGAACAAATACTGTTGGAGTTATTGAAAATGAATCACCAGATAAAGTGAGCACTGGGCCATGGCAGGTCAAAGAGGCAAAGTCACCTGGAGAAGAGAACTCAATTCATTTTCCTGCCTAAATGAGGAAGAAGGAACTTTATGAGCAATATGAACTTTTAATACATTAAAGCACGTTCTTTTCTGTAGCAGAAGCCCCTATTTTCACAGATTGATGGCTTTTATTATTATGTTTTGATTATTTGACATTCATATAATACCTCATGCTTTAGAGCATTGTAAATATTTTAGTTTAAAACGTACCAAAGAAATAGCATTATTTGGCCTTATTTTCTTTTTCTTTGTATTTGAATTCTACATTCTGTGTGCTTAATAAACCTGTGAAAGCCAGCCTAGTCACATTTTTTTAAAAATCTGTATAACAGCCATCCTAGTACGTGTGAAGTGGTATCTTATTGTAGTCTTAATTTGCGTTTCCCCAGTGATTAGTGATATTCAACGTCTTTTCAAGAGCTTATTGGCCATCTGTGTGCCTTCTCTGGAGAAATATCTATTGATGTCCTTTGCACAGTTTTTTAATTGGATATTTTGTTTTTGTTGAGTTGTAGGAGTTCTTTACATATTCTGAATATTAATCCCTTATCAGTTACATGACTTGTAAATATTTGCTGTGGCGATTGTAAATGGAATTGCATTCTTCATTTAGTTCTGCTTGATTATTATTAGTGTATAGAAATCCTACTGATTTTAGTATTCTAAAACTTTACTGACGTTGTTTATCAATTCAAGGAGCATTTTGGTGGAATCTTTAGGATTTTCTAGGTAGTATAGAAAGAATCATATTGTCAGTGAAGCATCTCACTCATTTTCTATCTCAAAGAGCACCACTGCCTAAAAACAGCAATTTCCCTTATAGGTGTAGTTTAAAGTCCATAGCTAGTGTGTTAAGTAATTGTTGGGCTGTGAAGGCAAATGTCTTAATTCCTTTCTGTGTGCTGTATCCAGACTCAGGGCTATGGCAGTCTCCACCACTCTGCCAGTATGACTGGCATAGTTTACTCTATCCCTAAACATGGCATGGAACTGTGGACACCATTTCTTGCTTTTTTATTTGTTGTGCTATAGTTGTTTTTCTTCTGCCTACCATATTCTATACTTACTCCAGTTTAATTTGCCCAAGATTTTATTCTAAATTACCTATTACATCTTTAGTCCTTCTTACTATCAAATTGAATGAAATGAGCTAGTGCAGGAAACCAATTTTACCCCTGGCAACTTGTGATGCACTCTTAGCCAAAGCTCAGCAACTTTAATATTTTTTGACAGTTTTGCACTTCACAACTGCATGTTATTTTTCCAGCTATCTCTTTGCCTTCCAGTTGACCTCAAAGAAAGATGAAGCAATTATATATCTCTTGAAGGTTTTAAGGTCAAAGCCTGATAATGCCCTTGAATCCAGAGCACTTATCTTCAGCCTATGTCAGTTTTTACCTTCCTCATAGTTTCTTTTCACAGGCTCAACCTCTATGAAATTAAGTTGAATTAATCTATTAGATTATTAACTTCCTCCAACTTTTATTATGTGGAGTATTCTTTTGAGCTGGATCATTAATGAGATGCAAGATAAGCTCTCCTAGTATATGCTTAGAAATGGGCTGGACAATATTAAGACTTCCCAGACCTTAGCCCACTTGTTAGCAGTGCTCCCCACGTCTGGTGGCCCAAACCATAGGAGATTAATTTAAGTATCTTCCCATAAGATTCATGTAACTAAACTCACTAATCAATTTCCTAAGAGCCATATGGTGTTAGCTATGAAATATTAATTTCTTATGTTCCTTTATTTTGTCAACAAGTAGATTTAGCCACGTAATATGTTCCTACCTAAAGTTAGTGATATCTTAGATGGCTCATAGGTCTTAGCACTCTTAGAAAGGACCGTCTTAGGCGATCACTTCTTCCACTCAGAGTTTCTTCATCCTATTCCACTAATAATTATGGATTGTTCAGGATGAACTAGGAAAATAACTTATTTGTTGTTCTTACAGTGGATATACTGTAAATTAAATATAATAAAATTTTGTTTATCCTGATGTGGGAAATAGGGCTTTCTTGTTAATTGAATACTGCAATTAGGTAAAAATTTCTCTACATTGGTTACCAATTAAATAATAGTAATTAACGAGATAATTATGCCTTTAGCATTTTCTTTATGATTCATGAGGTGCCTCATGGTCTTGGGCAGTCTTCGTAAACACCCATTATTGTACAAAATTTGAAGTTTTGTTCAGATTCAGTCTAAAGAAAACTCTTTAGTTAATGAATGTATTAACAGCAATATTTTATGTTTTCAAACAAAAGTATAAGAATTTTAAAAAGGAGAGGCAAATAAATGATTATCAAGTTAGCAAGAAATAGGCTTTATGCATTGAGATTAATAATATTGGGCCTTTTTGTAAGTACATCATATTTGATCATACCTAAAAATACGGGTAACATCGATTCATAAATTATTTACTGAGCATCTGTTGTGTGCTAGGCCCTGTATTAGGGAACCAAAAACGGAGGGAGAGTAAGAACTAAGTCTACTTCATCTGCATATACCCAGCTTGTAGCGCAATGCCTAACACGCATAATAGACACATGCTCTTAAGAGAGAAAATGTGCTCAAAATGGCATTCACTGTTATGACTTCATTTTTGATATTTGTTGGTTACCATTAATTTTTTTAATCTGATAAGAAAAATCATTAGAATGTGAGTTAGGACAACAAAGTTTTAATCCTGTATTTGCTATTTTTTTAATAATAACTTTAATGAGATACCATTCTATATCATATGATTCACCCATTTGATGTATAAAATTCAGTGTTTCTTAGTATATTTATAGAATTGTCCAAACATTACCACCATCAGTTTTAGAACATTTCCATCACCTCCGAAAGAAATGTTATACCCATTAGTGATCACCCTCCATTTGCCCCCAATTCTCTTCAGCCCTAGGTAACCGACTAACCTACTTCCTGCTTATGCTGGACATTTCATCTGTATATACTATTGACTTACTATATAATTTATCAAGTTGGCGTGTCCATTTGAAACATAAGGAAATCAATTTATGTTGTCTTCTCTCTTTATAGGGAAAATTTAAGGATGAATGTGATCATAACCACTTTGATACTAGTGAGAAGAAGTAATAGAAGTCCAAAGGAGCATGAATGGAGTAAAATCTAATTAACTTACTAATCAAAATAGAGTGTGCAGATGCAAATTTACTAATTGTTTACATACAAAGCTCTGATTTACTACAATGTCTTGTCATGGCTTAATCGTTAATAGGCTACATAGTGTAGTAATTGACAAGTATATTGTATTGTAGAATGTAAATAAAATTTATTTTTATGTTTAGAAAATGAACAAGTTGAAAAGCCAAGAATTCTGTGGGCTCTTTACTTCAATATGAGAGATTCATCGGACATCAGCAGGAGCTGTTATAATGATTTACCACCCAACGTTTATGTCTGTTCTGGCCCAGATTGTGGTTTAGGAAATGATAATGCAGTTAAACAGGTAAGGCTATTGACGTTTCTCAGCTTTGTATTAACATTTTGGTATGGTTGGGAAACATTTTTTTCTCTGGGAGTAGAGAAAAGTCTAGAAAAGCATCTCACTCATTAATACCACATTTCTAATTTGCCCAAACGTTTTTCTATGACCTACAAAGCTTCTTTAAATATATTTTAAATTCAGGGCCAGGTATTTTCAATTTATTGAATAAAATGTTGAATTACAGAGATTTTTTATGATTTCCATTGTGTGAATAAGGATGGAAGATGTTAAAAATACATATTCATAAATGAGAATTTATAATGCCAGTATTCTAAAGAAACATTGTTTCTAATTTAAACAGTTGGACTATTGGTATATTATTTTGAAATACCTAAATTATTTTTCTCGGTAAACTGACTCATTTCAAGAAGGCTGTAACTAATAAGGCATATAAAATTAATTTTGCAATAGTCTAAATGCATTTTTTTATTCATGGAAAAGAAGCTATAGTGTAGTTTTGTATAGTTAACATGATTCCATTAATGTTTTGACACAAGTTCGTGTCCCAAGAGCTACCATTACTGCTGCTGAGGACTACTGTAAAGCAAGGTGGAAACCTGTGATAGCCATCCTAAACAGGGCTAAGAAGAGGCACAGGCTGATACAAGCTCCTCAAAGTGAGCCATGATTCCATTAAGCTGAAGATTGATATGTATATACAGATACAGTTCTCTGTCCTAGACAGGATGGAAAAAAAAAACAAAATATTTTTTGAGACACATTTCTAAACTGTAGAATTGGCATGTCTGTCAATTAAGTCAGTAAATGGGTAATTTAACATTGTCCTTAGACCACAGATGGCACTTTCATTCCCACCAATGATAAGGAACTTATAGTAGCAAATGTCCTGATTGAGCCTGTAATCTAATTTTGAGTCATAGTAGCAAGGCTATGACTATGATGAGGATGCAGACATCTGCAGTTATTTTCTAGAGTTCCTGTGTATTTTCTTCAGTGCCTGATAGTGATCCTGGATAATCGTATTCAGCTATTGACACCAAACCAAGGCAGGAAGTCACATCTCTGATCCGTCATTCATTCTATTAGTTTACTAAGAACCCAAGATATCTGAAGACCTGCATTTATAGCTTGAAATATTCAAGTCATTTTTTACTTTGATGTTCTAATGTTTTGCAAGCAGAAATTGCCAACAAGTTTTTAGCAAGGTAGCTTAGGTCATTTTTTAATCCCTAAATGAACTTTATTTTTTTTTAACCAAAAAAATTTAAGTAAGGGTTTATAATACAAGTACTAATGTAATCTAAACATCTAAACTGCATGCTAGAAGATTATAATTGAAGGATAATTTTATCATGAGGTAATTTGCTTCTTAAGAAGAAAACCTTCAGAGGTAACATGCTATAATAGTAGAAAAGAGTATAGTGCTAATTTTGGTACTAATATGCTACTAAATGTAAGTAGTTTTAAATTTGTTATATAGCTTTTAATCTCATATATCGGTTTTGGGGAAAATATAATGCCTACTTTAAAGAGCATTGACAATATTTCTAAGTAGCTAGTGTATTCGGATAAACTACATGCTAATTCCTGTGTATCAGCCTGTAATTATGTCAGTCACTAATTGGTGATTTCCAGTGATCGATGTTTTCCAAATGAAGAATATTACCCATAAAAGCTCTCAGAATATCACCTAGACTTTGTTTATGTAGAAAACACAAGCCCGTGTAGATTTATTTAAAAAAAAAAAAAAAACGAAATACTTCATTTTACCAGTTGGCAAGTTTACATCTTATTTGTCAAATGTATAGAGGTTGAGTAATGTAAACCTGTGTTCGTAGGGAACTGTTTATGATTTGTGTTCATAGGGAACTATTTATGATTTGAAGATGCACCAAAAGCATGAAGTAATCTGTCTTTAATACCCACAAGTTCAAATTGTACACTCCTGGCCTCCAAGACATTCTCTATTGTCACCATGATACGAACCTAAGTGATAATTGTGATTCTTTCTATGACTTGCTCATTTTTGTACTTTATGTCGCTTCAGTTTTGTTTTCATTTTTCTGAAACTGACATCTGTCATCTCTTTCCTTGGTAGATGTCATATTCTGTGTACCCAAACACACTCATGGACAGGTCCATAGTCCTCATTCCCAAGACATTGATAGCTCACTCCTTCAGGAGCCCCACCCTCTAGGAGATGTCACTACTATGGGAACAAGAATAAATAGCACCAGACTCTTTGTATTTTGCTTCAGGTATAAAATAGGTTAAACTGGCTAATGTTGGGCTGGGCTAGCAACCTAACCACCATTTAGAACATTGTTTTATGGACAAATTAGCCAGTCACTTATGACATTTGATACACAGCCCATTATTAAATTGAGAGCTAGCTTTATAGATTGAACAATCAAGTTGCTCACATACTCTAGTGCTATTTGTTTTCTAAGCCTTTGAGAGGGCAATTTTAGATGTCATATTTTCTGTAGCTGTCATTCATTTGAGCACTTTCTATGTGTCAGATACTATCCTTGGCATCTCATATATATTATCTTATGTGGTCCTCAAAACAATCCTACGAGATAAGTATATATGATATGCCCATTTATAGAAAAGGAAGCTAAGTCCTAAAGGGGCTAAATAACTTGTCCAAAGGTCACATGGCTAGTAAGTTCTTGAGCCAAGAATTAAACTCAGTTCTTTTGGATCACAGTGCTGGTACACTCACCCAGTGATTGTTATGTGCTACTTTCAGTTTATGAGTAGGCGTATATCCTAAAAACTTTAAAGTACTATATTGATGAAATGTTTATTTTGTTTTGTGTAGATGTATGTTAATTTAACATAGAAATATTTTAAATAATTCACTTTGTTCTCTCTGTACTTCTCAGTATGAGCACACCAAGTCACAATATAATTAGCCCTTTCCAATTTTTTAACCACCTGAAACACTTTACCCTTTGAGCTAACTTCTGGCTTAAAAACGGTAAAGAGGAGGAAAAGTTGCCAATAAACTATTCTGCGCTTAGAACTAGGTTTAATTGGAAAGCAAAATGCAGCAGAGCAAGAGGCATTAGATGCACTTTCCAGAGCATGACAGTTGATCCTAAGAAGTTCCAGCAGTCAGAGAGAGGAGAGATTTGGGGTGGAGTCCAGCTATAGGAAATTGGCATCAACAAGGGCCAGGGAAGGTGGGCTAAAGGTGGGAGTTCTGTAAGCAGGTAGGACACAAGGAGAGTAGTGTGACAACCTGCAACTGGTGCTAATCTTAGGAGTCAGGTAGTGCATGGCAGGATAGATGGAAGCATACGGTGTGGGTTCTAGCCACAGGGACTGGAGTTCAGGGTAAAATCTATTCTATGGAGAGGAGGCAAAGGGAGACAAGGTGTCAAACACAGAGGAACTGGCATAGAAGTAAAAGTATTAGTAGTAATATAATTATATTTATACTTAATATTTGTATTAAATATTACTGACATTCTATTTTATGCCAAGGCAATAAGGATCCAGAGTTGACTAAAAGTATTTCTCATCCTGGAGGAATCACTGTTAGGTAAAGGAGAAAGGCATGTAAACAAATGGCAGTGTAGTGTGGCATATGTACTAATATATCCAAAGTCTAGAAGTAACCTAGAGGAGCAATGAGCCCAATCTAGAAGTCAGAGAACCTTTCAGAGAGGGGTGTAATAGATGAGTAGCAATTCTCCGTCTAAATCAAAGACAGCAGAATTGAAACATTCTGGGTGTAAAGAATAACACTGGTACCAGCCCAGGATGTAAACATAAGTATCATTGTGTCTTGTTTCATACAAATAAAGGTATTAGTAAAGTAAGAAGTCTGAGAGGTGAAAGTTAGATGATGGTATATGATAAGATCAGAAAAGGTATGTGTCAGGCAGCTTTTATTTTCTATAGTAGGGATCTTGGATGTTATCTTACTGGTGATGGGGAGCCATTGAAGAATTTTAAGCCTAAATGGAATAAACAGCATTTTATTTTCCACAGACCCATCTGAGGGTAGCATGGAGATGGATTATATGGGGGAACGCTAGAGACAAGGAGCCCAGTCCAATACTGAGTCTATTGCAGTTGTCTGGGTGAAAGATGGTGCATGTCTGGGCTATGTCAGTGGGGAAGGAGCAGGTGAAGTTAAGAGATAGTAGATAAAATTGATAGAATTTGATGATTGTTTGCATGCAGAGGGGAAAAGGGAGGGAGAACTTGTACAGACAGTAAAGATAGAGATGTAAGACAAAAAGACGATTAGGGGAATGACCTATGAGGTAACGGCTTTGTTTAACCTAGGTCCTACCTCTGTAGGGACTATGCGTCTCTAGAAAAGGAGTATGGTGAGTTCCCAGGATAGAGAGCACAGACAGGCATCTGTAATGTTTAATTTCCAAAAAGCTATAATAAAAAAATGCAGTGTTACAGTATTTACTATAGTCACTGTGCTGTACATTAGATCCCCAGAACTTATAACTGAAAGTTTGTACCCTTAAACCAACAACTCTTCACTTTCCAGCCCCTGGCAACCACCCTCAGCTTTTTTAGATTCCACATATAAGTGAGATCATGTGGTAATTGTCTTTCTGTGTTTTGGCTTATTTCACTTAGCATAATGTCCTCCAGGTTCATTCATCTTGTCATAAATGACAGGATTCTTACATTCAAATTTGACAAGAGGGCAGATTTTAAGTATTCTTACTACAAATACATACATACACACACACACACACACACACACACACACACACACACACACACACA